GACAAAGATTTGTCCTGACTGTGGGCAAGGCGGAAAACTCTAGCAACAGGAGGTAGCTTCTAGCTCACAAAAGTAGCCATAGAGGTTTTAGAGGACCCAGGACATATAGAGAGACACAGGAATTAGTAGGGAGGGGCTCAGAGATATGCTCTGCCTTTTGGATCAAGGGAGGAGAGAGAGAAGTCATTCTTTGCTTCTCCGCCCCTTCTCTGATCAATCAGGTCTACCCCCAATATCTGACTTCTGAGTTTTTATTGATAAAAGAATAATTAGATAAATGCTTCATCTGGCATCCAACATGGGACACAAGACTATGAGGTAGCCCCTCACCACCGGCTTTGCAGCTGTGGGGTCATTGCCAAGGCTGGCTTTCCTTCCCTCCTCTTAGGCCCTCTGTGTCAGTCTGGGATTTTCCCATTGAAGCCTCTCTACAGCAGCCTCCAGCTCCTGCCCATTTCCAGCCCCAGATGCCACAGGTGAGTGGGCCCCCCAAACTGTCAGAGGCAGCCACCCACTACCATCCAGCTCTGTCATTCAGGTCCCCTGGCCCTCACTTCTACCATACAGGCTTCTTCTGCACATCCCCCTGTGTCCACTATTCAAGTGGCTTGCTCCCTCTCCATGTGGGTTGCGGGCATCCCCTGAAACCCCTCCTAGGCCTGCTGCCATGCCAGGTTGGCCTCCTCGACAACTGCTCAGTCTTTTACTGCTGCTGCCACTGACAGACACTCTCAGCCCCCAGCCACATGCCAGCAGTTACAGGTGCTCTCAGCCAGGCCAATCACAGCCTGCGTTCTCTGCCCAGCCATGTGGCACAGTGACATCCAGCCTCATACCCTGCTGCCTTCATCAGCAGATCTGGTGAGACACCTGGGAATTCTTAAGGGGGGAATTTGTTTTTTAAAAAGGAGTTTTCCTCCCATGTTAACAATGGGGAACAATATTACTATACAGGGAGTAAAGTCTCTTTATGGCTCCACAATGGATGGTTTGAAAATGGAAAAATCAAGTGAAGGGATAATCAAATTGGCTGGGATTGACATAATGTTGATTATAATCACTATCAGTTTGATCCTTTGAAGTTTTATCCTTAAAAAAATGTTTGATATTGGTGCCAAATATAAAAAAATGACTGATAAGATGCAATCCTTAGAAAGACCTACTAATGAAACTAAGAAAAATATTTACACATAGACAGAGGAGTTTAGAGCAGAACTTACCACTGAAGAGGAGCAGTCCAAGGTTAATAGAAAACCAACCTCAATTTATCCAGTTACCATTCAAGAATGATCACCAGATGACAGGTACCACCAAGGAAGTTGACTGGGATCCTGTAGAAATGTTAGATTTGAAGACATTTAAGGAAGCAGTAGTTTCATAGGGTACACACTTACCATTTGTAAAGCAGATGTTAAATTCATGGACAATTCAAAACAGAATTATTCCACAAGATTGGAAAGATTTAGCTACAGCAATATTGTAAGCTGGTTCTCAGTTACAATGGTAAGCATGGTAGAAAGAGGAAGCTAGGGTCAGAGCAATGAAGTAAGGACAGTATGCTGATTTGCAAAGACAGTTTAAATTTGATGATCACACCTTGGCTCTATGTTATACAGCTGCTTTGAATGCTTGGGACAGGGTTGAAGAATCAGGAAAGAGGACTGAGTCATTTACTAAAATTATACGAGGCCCAAAAGAAGCTGTCACTGATTTTTTTTAAACAAAGATTGATTTCAGATATAAATAGAATGATATCAGATCTGGAAGTTAGACAAATACAAATTGAATCTTTGACTTTTAAAAGTGCTAATTCAGAATGCAAAAGAGTGATTAGGCCTTCAAAGGCAAGATTAGTACCCATAGATGAGTGGATAAAAATGTAGCTGATATTAGATCTTACACTTATGATGATACTTGGATAGGAGAAATAATTTTTAAAAATTTTTAAGAAAAATCAAAAGGTTAGATGTTTTAATTGTGGTAAACAAGGTCATCTGAAAAGGTATTGCAGGCAAGGCACTCCTAGAGACAATGTTTTTTCTAGAGATAGTCCAAACAGAAGGCCTCAGCCTTCTGTACTATGTAGAAGGTATGGCAAAGGCTGACATTGGACTAATGAATGCAAATCAACAAGGAACAGTCAAGGTAATCCTTTGCCATTGGGAAATGCCTTAGGGGCCTCTCATAGGACCCAGTGTCAAATTTGATTGAATAATTCCCTGTCAACATTGGGGAAAACCCTCCACAGAGAAATTAAAAGACTTAATGCCTGTTGTTTAAAACCATACTGCCCCGGGTGGCAGAATAGCTTCATTAGATAAAACAAGTTTTTCAGGAGAGTATTTTGGCAAACTGCCATAAATGATCAGAGACAAAAGCTAAAAATAGAAATAAATGGTATTGAAATTGAGGGTTTGGTAGACACAGATGCAGATGTAACCATAATTTCACCAAATCTTGGCATCAAGATTGGCCTCTTCAGGAGATAAATGCTCAGCTTCTAAGAATTGTAACTTTATCTCAGATAAAATAAAGTGCAAGATGGGTTGAATATATAGGGCCAGAACGACAGATAGGTAAATTCAAACCATATGTAGCCAACATAGCAATCAATTTATGGGGACATGATTTGTTGCTGCAATAGAAAACCCAGATTAACATTCCTCCAATCTCAGAAACAAACCATAAAATAAAGAATGTTTCTAAGAGAAATTTTAAGAGCTATTATCAAGAGCAGTCACAGACCATTCAGGTTGTACATAAGCAGGGCACAACAGCTGGTGATCTTTCAAGGGTAACAACAGCCCTTCTTTAAAATGGTTAACTGACAAACCTGTGGAGGTGGAACAAGGGACTATGACATCATAAAAAATACAGACAATAGAATAGCTGGTACAGGAACAGCTAGATGCTCAATATATTGAAGAATCAACCAGTCCTTTGAATTATCCTGTATTTGTCATCAAAAAGATATCTGGAAAATGGAGGATGGTGACAGATTTAAGAGCCATAAATAAAGTGATTCAGCCAATGGGCTCTTTACAGCCTGGAATTCCCTTGCCTTCTTTATTACCTAAAGGATGGTCTATTATAGTTATTGATTTAAAATACTGCATTTTTACTACACTTTTACAAGAACAGGATAGAGAAAAATTTGCCTTCACAGTGCCTACTTATAATGACTCCCAGCCCTTTAAAAGGTATCCGTGAAAAGTTCTTCCACAAAGGATGTTAAACAGCCCCACCT